GTGGTGGGTGGTGGGTGGTGGGTGGTGGGTGGTGGGTGGTGGTGGTTGGTGGTTGGTGGTGGTGGTGGTGGTGGTGGTGGTTGGTGGTGGTTGGTGGTGGTTGGTGGTGGTTGGTGGTTGTTGTCGTTGTTGGTTGCTGTCATTGTTGGTTGTTGACGTTGTTGGTTGTTGTCATTGTTGGTTGTTGGTGTCGTCGCCCTTTCTGATTGACTGTTTCTTACCCGAATTCTTATGCGCTGAAAGAATCGTAAGAAGAATATATGCTATATACATGTAGCCTTAGCTAAACCTTCTGGTACTACTTCTTGTCCTACTCTAAATATTGAATCTAGTCAAGATGTTCCAGATCATTCATCGGAAGACTGTTCTTGAATCTTGATCAATATCCAGATGTGCTTGACAAACCAAGTGGCATGCCGCGTTGGACATAAGTTCAATATTCTTTCGGATAATCAGCCTCCCAAAGGTTGTGTTTATTGTATGGGACTTGTTGGACTCGAAGAATTGCCAGCACACAGAGCCGGTCAGATGCCCTTTGGTGGAAGGTTGTAGGTTTGATTCCAAGGGGGTTGATCTGGGAACTTCTTGTGTATTTGCAAGCACGCAGAGCCGGTCAGATGCCCTTGCTGTGGCTTGGTTGAAGTCTGAACCTGTGCCGAAAAAAGGCACATGGGTTGAGTCTGGGTACACCGGGTCATAGATGTACTCCGTGCTGGATATGGGTGAAATGCCCCTCAAGGGGGTTCACTCTCATTGTAGCTCACTTTTCCCATTGGTTAAGTGTTTTGCCTCTTTGGTGGAAGGTAGCAGTTTCGATTCCTAGTGGGTTGATCTTGGGACCTCTTGTGTATTTGCCAACTGCAAAAGAGAATCGAGGAATTGCTTCTGAGGGTTGGACTGAACCTAGCTCGTATGAGAGCATACTCACAGTAAGACCTTTTTACTTATTTCTGGATGGAAACGTGGCCACATACATCCAGGTAGATCCATAATGACGGTCAGATACGTTCAGAAGAGTGGTAGCGTGAGTACACCCTGAATATAGAGCACCGATGTTTTTGGTGCCCCAAAAGAGTCATAAATTCCACATGTGCATTACTATCAACTTATCGAGGACTGCACCCCATCACAAGAAAGAACACCTATCCTTTGCTTCACATCGACAACCTCATTGAGTCGGCCATGGGATGTAAGGTGCTCTTGAGCATCAACCTCTGGTTCAGTTACCATCAATTGAGGTAAAATCCTGCAGATCTGTACAAAACTGCATTCAAGACATGCAATGAGTTGTACGAGTTCGACCATATTCACGAGCACGCACGCCACCTTCCAACAATTGATGGATCAAGGCTGCAGACAGCAACTCAACAAGTTCGTTGTGGTGTACCTTGATGACATACTTTTTTCTCATTTTCGTCACCCTCCAAATGTGTGGCTGCTCTCATTTACGAACTCAAGCTATACACGCTTCAAAAACCTTTGGAGTAATGGAGGCATTACTATTTTGGCTGCCGCTTCAAAATTCAAAGTCTGTTTTAATCATCACAAGTTGCAATGGGTGCATAGGACTTTGAGCTGAGACAAAGAAGGGGTGTTTTATGAATGAATTGTTTGGATGTCTGGCTCTCCGCCCATCTTTTCAATGATGAATTGCAAAGGAGACTACAAAGAATTCCGCTTTTGTCCCTATTCTAACCTAGGCTACCAGCCGGGTCCCTCACCTCCCTTCTGATCCTGCTAACTGGACCTGGTCTGCCCCAATAGGAAAAGGTAGGTCAGCCACTCGCACCCTACACACCCTATCAGTCAAGTCCACTTACAGAATGCTCAGACAAAGGATCAATCTCAGGGATCAGGTGGAGGACAGATGGATGAGACACTTAAACGTAAGCAAGGATTTTTTGCGCTGAATCAGATGGTTCCACACAATACGAGCTAAACCAGCCAAAGTGGCCTCCCTGCAATGGCAGATCGACCACCGATGCCTACCAGCTAACGAGTGG